CGATTCTTATTTTTAATTATTTTATTGACTATCTTCTATGTTACTTACATCTCCAAAGAAATTTTAGAATCACCCTGCCAATTTCTAAAAATGGCTGGAATTTTGCTTGGAATTGTGTCAGATCTATATGACTCAGTTTGGGTGAGAACTGACAACTAAATATTTAAGTCTTCCAATTCATGAATAGAATATATCTCTCCACTTATTTAAAAATAGAATTAAAATATGAGTTTGTTGCCCAAAAAAATTAAGCCCAGGCATTTTTCATAATACACATTTTCAATTAACTTTTTGAAAACCCTCATATTTTGTTAACTTTGTAAGAATCATGTTTTTGATGCTCGTTTAATAAGTAAAATATTTATTTTCTATTTTAAAATTTCATTTCCTAATGGTCCATTACTAGTAGTATACAGAAATTCTATTGAATTTTCTTTGTATGTCGACTTTGCATCCCATGATCTTGCTAAATTCATTTACTCTAGTAGCATAGTTTTGTAGAGTCCTTAGGATTTGTCTTATAGTCATGCCATTTGCAAGAACTTTAATTGCTTCCCTTCTAATGAGGTTGAGTTCTTTTTCATGCTATAGAATCTCCAGTACAATGTTGAATAGAAGTGGTCCTTGTCTTGTTCCTGATCTGAGGGAGAAAAGCATTTGGTCTTTCTCCATTAAATATTTAAGATTAGCTGTAAGGGCCAGCAGGTGGCATGGTGGTTGAGGCTGGACTCGCACATGGCCAACAGCAGTTTGAGTCCTGAACCTGGCAGATTGCTTTCTCACTTTCTGTCTCTCTCTGGTGAGTGCGCATGCCCTATAGCAAATTTAAAAATAACAATAAACTTTTAAAAAGATTAGCCGTGGGTTTGATAAAGAACTTCACACACATTCTTTATCAAGCTGAGGAGGCTCACTTCTAGTTCCTGAGTTTTTATCATGGTGTATGAATTTAATGCATTTATCAATCTGACCTTTGGTGTTTTAAAATAATTACATTGAGTGATTTTTGAATGTTATACCACCATTGTATTCCTGGGATAAGTCTCATTTGGTCATGATAGTATCTTTTTATGTATTTTAAAATTTTGATCTATTTTGTAAAGAATTTTTGTATGTGTTAATAAACGATACCAGTCTTAGTTCTCTTTTTTCAATGTGTCAGAGAGTATGTACACTCATCTGAGAGAGAGACACACAAATGGGGCAGAGAGAGAAAGCACTCCTTAATGGAGTATGGTCCCAATGCAATCCCTTCTCCACTTCTCCGACCTGTTGGGATTTTAGACCTGCCCTCACACATGCCCAGAATGTTTTCCAAGTTGTTTGCTCCAAGACTGGGCCACCAGGCCAAGCAGCTGGCCCTCCTGGTTTATTTTCCTTATTGTCTCTGTCTGGTTGGGGTCTAAGAGTAATACCGACATCATAAAATGAACAGGCAAATACTCTCTTTTTCTAAAACAGCATTTTGTAGGATGGGTACTTTCTTACTTAAATGATTGGCAGGATTCATTGGTGAAGCCATTTAGGATTGTGAATTTCTTTGTGAGAGTTTTCCAATTTAGGGCAGTTCATACTCAAGGCTCTTGGAGCTTTCCACTGCTGGCAAATCTGCTAGCATTATTGTTCCGAGTGCTAACCAGAAGTGAAAAGTAATAATTACTAAAAAATCATTAGTAGACCTTTGAGCACCAGCAGATGGCATAATGGTTATGTTGCTGGACTCCCACATGGTTGACCGTGGTTTGAGTCCTGGACCTGGTGACTTGAAATTCATGCTAGGTGTGCATGCCCAAAATCCTGAGAGGAGAATGGAGACAGGATTGTGGCATGGCTATCACCCCAGGGTGTGATTTCTCACTTTCTGTCTCTGTCTCTACAGTGAGTGTATGTGCCCTGTAGCAAAAATCTCTTAAAAAAAAAAAAAAAAAAAAAAAGATTGTCAAGATTCCTATAAAGTTGCTATGTAGGTGACCTAGACAGAGTTTTCTTTTATTTCTAACAGTGCATGATGCAGAGTAGAAAAAAATGAGTTCAAGTTCCCATCTTCATGAATAAGTGGATTATCTGGTTTTCATTTTTATTTCCTTTGCAAAAACATGTCCCTTATTAGATGCTAATTTTTTTTTTAAAAAAAGAGGTTTTTATCTTAGGGCACATGTGTTCTCAGGAGAGAGAGAGAGACGGTGAGAGGGAATGTGAGAAATCCCCCCCCCCGCCCCGAGGAGGGATGGCCACATGCAATCCCTTCTCGTCTATTTTCTTCCTGGGATCTTGGGCACACATACACACACTCCTGGTATGATTTTCAAGCCACAAAGTCCAGGATGGGGTTGGCCATATTGGAGTCCAGTGATGTTACTGCTAGGCCATCTGCTGGCCCTGACGCTAATTCTTTAAGCTGGTACCATTTCATGTTTCAGGAGTCCCAGTATCCAGCTTACTGCTAGGTACCCTGTAAGCACCCAGATGTTCGTCAAGGTTCAAACAGCATGAACACTGTTGCTCATGTTCTGTACTGACCTCGGGGTCACAGAAAAAGTGGAGTTTACTCTTTTTAGACCAGGGAGACAAGAAGCCCATAGCTTACCATATCTTTTCTCCCATATTTAAACCTAGGGAGATTTAAATAGTACTAGAATCTTTGAAGGAGAAAAATATTTTTTTCCCAAGAAATCACCCCCTTGGGGGATGGCCACACTGCCATCTCTTCTCTTCCATTCTCCTCCTGGGGACCTTGGGCACAGACATACAAATGCCTAGTGTGAGATTTAAGTTGCCAGGTCCAGGACTTGAACTGTGGTCGACTATTTGGGAGTCCAATGATGTAACCGTTAGCCATCTGCTGGTCCCTTTGAAGGAAAATTTTAACTCACTGTAGCATTTAACTCACTGTAGCTTTTATTTTACTTTGTTAAAATAGTAGACGACACTAGAATGTATGCCATAAATCCTAGAAACACTCTTTGAAGAGTGGAAATAATATGATAGAATAGAAAGTGTAATGCATTTAGGAGTTATAAGACCTGGACTTGAGTGGTAACTGACCTAAGCATCAAATGAATTAACGTGAAAACACTACATATATTGGATAAATGAGCACGCAGGAGTAAGTTAATATTAATTGCATCTAAACAAGGAGTTATACAAATCATGTTAACAGAAAAATAAAATTCAGTCCCTCTTCAGATACTGTGAGGAAGTTTTCAATTCAGGGCAGTTCAGATTCACGGACTACCCTGAGAAAATGCCACAAGGCCGGTTTCAGTAAAATAGGTGCCGAGTGCAGAGGCGCACCCGTGGTCCTAGCTAACTAGGACGCTAGGGCAGGAGGTCACATGAGAGACCTGGAAAAACCCCTGTCTTCTCTATCTCACACATTCTCTTATAGAAAACAAACAAGAAACCAGGTTAAAGCTCAAGGATTTCTTTGTTCTTTTCCCACCTTCCCTTTTTCTCTCAACTCCTACTTCATTTTATTCCCTCCTGGCTGCTCCAACCCCATATCCTCCAGACACGCTAGCACGACCCAATTCACATGTGTCCTTTGAAAATAAGGCCCACCTTTAAGTCTCAAATTGTCCCTTCTAATACCCAAATCCACAGCTCAATAAAGTAAACCTTCCAGAGGATTTTGCTTTTTAAATCGAAAAGAATGAACTTCTAGAATTAAATGAACTGTGTCTGGCACCTGACACAATCAAATGGTGTAGGAATTTGAGAGGAGTCTTTACATAGGAGACCTATTAGACTTCACAAAATAGGTGACTTCCCACTTTGGTCTCGTAGGGCCAGACCAAATTCTGCAATTGTTTTACTTCCATACCACAGCAGTTTTTCTCAGCTCCAAGGTTCAAATAAACTCTCTGAGACACTTTGTTGTTGTAGATCTTAAATTACAAGCTTGATTTGATACCCTCATATACAGTTCTTAAGGAAGATTAGTTACAAATAGTTGGCAATACTTTCGAATGACAGAAGGAATTACATTTAGTGAAACTAGATGAATTTTGGTGTGTGGGATAACATTTCTTTCATCACCTGGTGGAATTACTCCAATTCATGCAATAAATCACTATTACATTTTTAAAAGTTGCCCTAATTTTTCTAGTTGAGACTTCATGCCGACTTTAAGTCAAGATAACAGTACGCTCTGAGCTCCCCTCTCCCTCCCTGTCAGTGGTGAGGAGGACCCCTGTGGTTTCTCTGAGACACAACTGGGCTATCTTTCATCTTGTTAGGCGAGTTCTCAGGAAATCATGGGTTTCAGAAAAAGCGGCCCAGCTGGCGTACAGGAAAACAGGCAGGCAGAGGTTATACAGGACTCTGATAATGACTGGAAAGACAGGAACAAGAGGGAATTTTGAACTGATCTTGACATAAAATTGGCAGAAAGAAGCATCTCCAAGTGCCTGTAGCTAGGAATTATGAGGGTATAACAGAAGGTTTGTCTCTGATGAGGGTGCCCCTCACAGCAGACCTTGTGAACAGCTTTTACAGAACTACTTAAGATAGTACCGTCAACATTTTACATATCATTTGAATACAAATTCTTAAAATTTATAATAGAACATTAAAATAATCTTCTAATAAAATCAGTCTTAATAAGTGTAAGGAATCTAAATTTCAGTATCTTGTACACTTCTAAATAAATATCTTTGATCTTTAACCCTTGAAAATATTACAGTTTATGGTGACAGGACAGAGACAAGTCAAACAGTATTATAAGTGAAAATGAAACATTAGTTTAAAAATAAAGTGTAAAACACACTACAATGAAATGAGAGAAAATCAAGACACTAAGTATACAGTAATTAAATATCTAACGTTGAGATAACCAAATGCATGCATATGAACACACGTTCAACTTATATAAAAAGCCCTTTAAAACTTATATAATCTAAATAAATAAGCAGAAACATAAACAGAAGTACTGTACCAGCCAGTAACAACTAGAAAGCAATTTCTCCCTTTTTCTTTCAAATGATTGTAACAGAAAACAAAAAATAATGATCACTTGCTAAAAAACTATAATTCATGTTCGTCTGTTTTTTTCTAAATGCTGCCTACAATATAAAAAGTTAAAGCAAGGCTTCCTACATGATAGACCACTGTACCTTAGGTAAGGCCACCTAACTGACAGATTTAAACAAAAGTCAGACATTTGCCTATTAAAGTATGATTCGGTTTTCGATGAATGACCTCACAATAGGGTCTGAATCAAGCCCATGATATGAATGCACATTCAAACACCTGATGCATGATCTAACGCTGAATTATAAATGGTGATTTATTTTTACTCTCCAAGTACTGGCTTATTTTATAGAAGACCAGAATTAAAAACATCTATGGCAGGAACTGCATCCTATATTTGTATTTTTGGCTGTCAGATTTTTATAACATAATAGGTACTCAATAACTATTTGCTGAACTGAGTTGAGTGTAGCCTTCATTATTTCAGGAAGCATCCAATTCATGATCAAACTTGGGCGTGAGCCTGCGGGTGGGGGAGAAGGTGGCTCCTTAATTTTGCCTTTAGGCCTGTGATTAATTTCTGGCTAATTAAGTTATGAATTGCCACAAATCTGTCACAGTTTCTCATTTCAAGACCAAGATTGCTACAATTTGTCTATTCCATAGTTAAGCCTTCTTCAAAGATTTGTGCCTGCACATCATAGTCAAGTTAAAAGAATAAAGATAATCTTGGTTATTCTATGCTGAGTATTTGCTCACGAGAACTGAGACACACGCGCGCACACACATTCCTACACACAACCATTTCGCAAATGGAGAACTGATTCTGGAAATAATGCATAAAGCCTAAATCACATAGCTCCAAGGTTAACCGAAAAATGACATGGACATCCTAAGGTAACTCTTTGATTACACACAAACTTATTGCGTGATGGCTGGAAGCAATGTCTACAGACTAATAAATGTAAACGAAACATATTCTTGAATCATTAGCTTGACAAGGTAGCTAAAAATAGTGTGGTTCCACGACTGCCCTGTTTAAATCTGCTCAGTGAACCTCATTCCACTAGGACGCAGTGAGGAGGTGGATATGCTCTCCCAAGTCCATTCCTTCCATCCACAATGCTCAGATCAGTATCATTACGTGGATTGTTCTAAAGTCGCTGTTTCTGATGTCCTTTGTTTCTCACTGAGGGGAGGGGGGAATGTCACAGAACTGCCGCAAGAAAAGCTGTTTGGAAAGTTTCACATCTTTCATTCTCACTGCCAGCATGCGTGTCTCTCTGGAATGCTGCTAGGAGAGGTAGATCCAGTGTTTAAGTTCTGCCATTCCCCGTAGGAACTTAGTGTAATAGAAGTCCATGTTGTCTGCAAAGTCTGTACAAACGGGTGACTCCATGTCACCAAAAGTGCAGTATAATGCAGTTCCTCCCACACTGAGGAACACTGTGGCTATGCAGAGCAAGATCAGTAAAATACAGGAGCCACCTCCAACTTCATCTGCAAACAGAACAGAGTGAGGTTAAATTGTCATCAAAATGGAAATCCTAGCACCTGCTGTCTTCTCACTGACATAAGAGATTTCTAATATACATATACAGTCAACTTGTATGAAAAGAAGAGAAATAGGCGGTCTTTCTCTGATGCATGCTGCAGTGTTATTTTACATGTTACAACTTTATCATTACATACAGTATCTTTGCACTTTACACTTTAGCAGAGTGAAATGAAGTTATAGCTGGTATACTGATTTCTTTTTATTTTGCTTAACAACTCTGGCAGGTTTTTTTTTTTTTTTTTGAGAGATTTTTTTTGCTATAGGGTGCGTGCGCTCACCAGACAGAAAGTGAGAAATCACCCCCTGGGGGGATGGCCATACCACAATCCCTTCTCCTCCATTCTCCTCTTGGGATTTTGGGCATGCATGCACATGTGCCTGGCATTAGTTTTAAGCCACTGGGTTTAGGACTCGAACTATAGTTGACTATGTGGGAGTCCAGCGATGTAACCATTACACCATCTGTTGGTCCCAGACAGGTTTGTTTTTAATAAAAATATTCATGTCAGTATTTCTATAGTGAAGATAATAATCTTAATAATTCATAATTAAAGAAAAAAATTTATAAAGACTAAAAAGCTTTATGATTTGTGCCACAATGAATGGGTACACAGACCTTTTGGGGAGGTAATTTGGCAGCATTTATTAAAGTTTAAATTTAAATTACCCTACAGACTGGACACTTTGGAGAGTAACTGAGATTAACTGAATACAATGCTGGGACAACAGGTACCAACCAGGACTACCTCAGGTCAAGTGGGACATAATGGTCCCCACATTCAGCCCAGCAAATCTACTTTGAGCAATGAGCCTACAGAGTTACACATATGTACAAACCTGCTCACTGCAGCAGAGTTTGTTATAACAAAAAGTTGGGGAAAAGTGAATTATTCCAGGTAAGATGAAATACTTAGATAATTATGGGACATTTATATATGGAATACTATGCAATGATTTAACAGAATTAACTACATTTAATATGTTTTCTCATAGAAAGATATCCAAGATTCACAATTGAAAAATTTACATAACAATATATAATGGGGTCAGCAGGTGGCATGGTGGTTAAGGTGCTGGACACTCCCACATGGCAGACCATGGTTCAAGTCCTGGACCTGGTGGCTGGCTTTCTCACTTTTCCCCACTCCTTCTCTCTCTCTGTCTCTCTCTAGTCAAATTAAAATAAATGAATGAATACATGAAATTAAATAAATAATTAAAAAATAACAACAAATTCATATGTTAATTAAAAAAGGACAAATGGATACGTCAGTGTGCATACATAAACATATGCACATGTAAATATATAGAATATGTCTCAAAAGGATGGTAAGAAATTTCTATCAATACTTCAGGGAAAAAGACTTACAGGTTAAGTGACTTATACATTTTACTTCCTTATGCCTACATTTTTTCATGATTAGCATATATTACTTTTAAGAATCAGACTTCATGAAACCTAATATGTACGATTTAGGCTTTATTTGGAGTATTTTACTGTAATACATGAATGTATTCTCCATGTAAAACTTCAAACATAAAAGTATCTAAGAGTCTAAGGGACTGTTTCTTTTTCTCCTACCCAGTGGTATTCCTCACCTCCCATCCCAGAGGTAAACTCTTAAATTTGGTATGTATCCTTCCAGATCAAAATATGTAATTGTAGGATTTTTATACACGTAGGATTATATAATTATTTTGTTCTGTGATTTATATTTATATTTTATTTTTTAAATAATTATTTTATTACATTTAGTGTCATCCTTATTTTTTGTTTAATTTGACCAGGCAGAGACAGAAAGAAAGGGAAAGTAGGAAAGCAAGCCTCTAGGTCTGGGGCTCGAACTGTGGTCAGCCATGTGGGAGTCCAGTGCCTTAACCACCATGATACCTACCAGTCCTGATTTATATTTTTAAATAATTTATACCTGTGTCTGAAAAAAAAACTCACACAAATGAAGAAACTGTTATCATTCACATTGTATTTTTGGTTAGTTCAGTCTTTTTTTTATCTTCTTTCTTTCTTTTTTTGCCATAGGTTATGTGGGCTCACCAGAGAGAGTCAGAAGAGAAACAGAGATAGAGACAGACAGAGATAAAGACAGAGATAGAGGTAGAGAGAGAGAGAGAGAAAGCATCCCCCGATAGAGCGCGGTCACACCACAATTCCTTGTCTCCCATTTCTCCATCCTTTTGGGACTTGGGGCACATGCACACATGTCCTGCATGTTTATCTTTCTTTTTAAACATGGTTCCTCCCCACCCTTTGCCTGTGTTAGCAATCCAATTTATGTATCTTTCCATGCTCTTCCTCATTATCATACATTCATATATAAACACTTAAACATCTTTTATTTCTTCTATCTACATGTGTTGAAACTGCGTAGAGCTGCACTGGAGACTAGGGGCCCCATGTGGCTGATGCCCATACGACATGTGGCTGGTCCAAATTGAGAGGTGACATGAGTACAAGACACTCATCAGATTTTTGAAGACTCTGTGTAAAAAGGATGTAAAAGATTTATTTCATCAGTAATTTTTTCATATTGATCACGTGTTGAAATAATATTTCTGTGGGACCAGCAGTTAGCATAATGGCTATGTCTCTGGACTCCCATGTAGTCGACTGCGGTTCAAGTCCCAGACCTAGCGGCTTAAACTCACGCCAGGTGCATGTGCGTGTGTGCCCAAGATCCCGAGAGGAAAATGGAGGAGAAAGGATTGCAGCGTGGCCATCCCCCCCAGAGGGTGATGTCTCACTTTCTGTCTCTCTGTTTCTCTGTCTTTCTGGTGAGCGCACACGCCCTATAGCAAGGGCCCTATAGCAATGGCCACGCTGCCGGGACTTGAACCACGGTCGACTACATGGGAGTCCAGTGACATAGCCATTATGCCAACTGCTGGTCTGAAGAAATAATATTTCTGATATACTGGATTAAATAAACTATATTATTAAAATTCATTTCACCTGTTTCTTTTTACTTCTTAAATATGGCTATATAAAATGTAAAATCATATGTGTACCTCACATTAATTTCTAGTGGGTAGCAACAACTTAGAGGAAAAGAAAAAGGCCCTTTTAGGACGATTTTAGAGAGAGGTTTATGAAGAGAGGTTAATGAAGAGGTTATGAAGAGAAGTATTTATGAAAATAGTATTTGAACTATAGAGTTCAGAAATAAATGATCACTAATCATTTATAAGAAGTTTGCAATTCTCCAAATAAATTCATACACATTATTGGACATGCTTTTCAGTGCCCATGGGGGCACACAGGCAGATGTTATTCTCCCTGTGTTAAAGATGATGAAATCGAGTTTCCCACAAGGTAAGTGATTTGGTCTAAGACCAGGTAGCTTCTAAAGGAAACATGGACTGTGAGCTCTAAGTCCAGGATTTCTAATAAGCAATGGTTTTTACAAACTAGTGCAGGCACTATCGAGCATTTTATCTGGGGAAGATCATGCAAGGTGGAGAAGTCAAATGAGGGGTCAGAACAGTTTATTCTAAGGCCCCTACTGTCTTCATAACTGTAAACATTGAGAAGCCTCTACTGCTATCACTTATGTCACTTAGCATACCTAAATGTTTACGGCTGTTTTATCAATACAGTTGTTTTATAAGCATGAGAAACACACTGAAGGGTTCTTCTCTATAATTTTACTTTCCCTTATTTACCCCCACCCTACATAAACCTATTTGCAACTATGAAAGGCAGCACTCGTTGCTATAGCAGCGACCTTAAGTGCAAGCCCAGAAAGGAGAAGTTAAGCAATAGCAACAGTGTGAACTTGCTGCTCTCCTCTACAGAGTGAAGAAGAGAAAACATACGTGTAATTCATAAATATTTTCCACAAGAAAGGTGGAATACTAATTGGCTACTGAAAAGACAAGGTAGCAGGCTTTCATTAAAAAAAAAAAAAAAAAAAAAAAAAAAAGAAAGAAAAGAAATACTAAAGGAGGAAATTAAAATGAGCTCTCAGGGCTGGCAGGTGGCACAGTGGTTACAGGTGCTGGATTCACACATGGCTGACCGTGGTTTGAGTCCTGAAATGGGCAGCTTGCTTTCTCATTTCCCCTTTCTCTCTCTGTCAAATTAAAAAAGTAATAATAACAAATGGAATTAAACAAAAAATAATTCTTTAAAAACAAAAATGAAAACAAATGTGCTCTCAAATTGAAATACTGAGATATGGGATAGGGAGATCACAAGTTGAAATTTGGAACTCACTTATTTGAGCAAAGTAAATGCTTACACGTAATTTAAGATGATAGGTTGGTTTTGTACGTTTCTCTCTCAGAAGATAAAGGACCTTAAGGTCATATACTCTTTTACAAATCCTGTTAGCAAACATCGTATCCGGCATTAATTCATCTTTTCAGCAAACAGCAACCAGTCCACTCTACTAGACACAATGCTGAGTAGGTTACCTTGATCCAAATTATCGTCTATCTCTTGGAACCTCACTCTTCGCTTAGACGGCTTCTGCTGCATTTGGGCAGGATGATCACCTACAGCATCACTTCTCTTCTTTAATATAGAGACCGCCTTCAGCAGGAACAACCTGTTAGAGATTATGAGAACAAATTGTTATATTAAAGTGGGACACATCAATGATATTTTACCTGTAACTGTAAAGAGTTAATTCAGGGACCAGTGGTTAGCGTAATGGTTATGTCGCTGGACTCCCATGTAGTCGACTGCAGTTCGAGTCCCGAACCCAGTGGCTTAAACTCACACTGACTGGCGTGTGTGTGTGCGTGCCCAAGATCTCGAGAGGAGAATGGAGAAGGGATTGTGGCATGGCCATCCCCCCTGGGGGTGATTCCTTGCTTTCTGTCCCCCTGTCTCTCTCTGTTTTTCTGGCCAGTGCACGCGCCCTATAGTAAAACCCCCCAAAAAAAAAAAAAAAAAAAAAAAAAAAAGGAGGTTAATTTAATTAATCAGATACTTGATTTTTTTTTTTTTTTTTACAGGTATACCAATTCCTACAGAAGAAGACCTACAATTAATCTTGAAAGTAAACAGTAGGTAAATCAGGTGACCTCCTTTAACTCCTTTGCTTTGTAGCTTACCTTCCCTGTTATCTGTAAAATGTATAATCCCTCTCTGTTCAAACATTAGTGCCGAGTTTTGCTTTACAGATGGAGCTTTATAATCGACTACTGTTTTTCTCATTCATCAGCAATTACTGAAATGAGCAGATGTGCTCACTGGAGAGAAATAGAACGAAAGTGATAAATTACTCGCCCCAGGGGGTTTGCCACTTTTCCTCCTCTTCCATTCTCCTCTCAGGATTTTGGGCACACATGTACATGTGCCCAGTGTGATTTTTCAAGCCATCGGGTCTAGGGCTCCAACTGCTATCAGCCTTATGGGAATCCAGTGCCTTAACCACCATGCCACCTGCTGGCCCCTAAAATATATTTGATACCAAAAATAAAGTGTTTTTTTAGAGGTTTTTGCTATAGGGCGCATGCACTTGCCAGACAGAGAGAGATAGAGAGACAGAAAGCAAGAAATCACCCCCCAGGGGGGATGGTCACACCGCAATCCCTTCTCCTCCATTCTCCTCTCGGGATCTTGGGCACGTAAGCACACGCGCCCGACATGAGTTCTAAGCCACCGGGTCCAGGATGCAAATCGCGGTCGACTATGTGGGAGTCCGGCGACATAGCCATTACGCTAACTGCTGGTCTGATACCAAAATTTTAACATCAAAATCAGTGCTGTCCTCAGTTCCTCTGAGAAATTATGCATTTACTAATGCTTTACTGATCAAAATATTTAAAGAACTTCTATTCTAGAACTTCTCTTGGAGTCAGCTGACTAAGCAGCTTACTATTCTGTAGTATACAGAGGTCAAAAAACTATGGCCAATCAGGCCAAAGGCTCACTGCCAATTTTTGTATATAAAATTTAACTGGAACACAGTCACGCCCAATCTTCTACACACTGTGCATGCATGCTTTGGGGTTACAATGGCAGAACTAGGTAGATGCAACAGACCTTGAACCCCAAAATATTTATAATACGATCATCACAGAAAATGTTTCTGTATAACATCTCCGAAGCCTAATCCTTCAACCTAACCCTAATCCTTTCTGTTGCTTTTTACAATAGTTTTCACTTGGACCACCTCCCGCTTCACTACATCCCTTACTTAAAATTAAAAACAAAAGCCCTTGCCATTTAGGAGATAAAAGGTTCCAGAGGTGCAGAGAGAAAGAAGATCTGTCCAAACAGCCAGGCTGGGAAGCAGCAGGCTTAGGCTCCTTCACAGAAGCTAACTTGTGAGCTGCTTGTTACAAGCTGTAGGTGATGACATAACTGGGCATTGTGGGCTGAACACTGTGGGTGTCAGCGATTTGCTATCAGCTCACTGTAAGCTGAGGACTGCCTGTAATGTCATTTATCTGATCAATGACATGAAACACTTAATATAATTTTCAGTTCAAGGAAGCAATCTTTGATAATGTGCTATGCATAAATATTAGATCCTATTAGTTCTTTTTATAACTCAGGGCTTTTAGGGTCAAATAACTCAAGATGGTTTCCTATTGGATTTCTCTGAACGTGGGTCTATAGAAACCATTATCGCAAAAAAAAAAAAAAAAAATCAATAAGCCAGCCATTTATTCTTTTTATAGCAAATATGTATTTCAGATGTCCTTGTTTTGAGAAAACTAAAGTACTTTAGTAACATTAAAATGGCAAGTAAAATTAAGTAAAGGAATAGTCTTTTAAATCTTTATTTAGAAAGCAAGAACATTAAAGGGCCCCTTTGTTCAACCAAGAAAAAATGATCTTATGAGCACCTTGCTAAAGTTTTTTTTGTTTTTTGAGATTTTAGCTATTGGGTGTGTGTTCTTGCCTGAGAGACAGAAAGAGAGAAAGTGAGAAATCACACCTCAGGGGAGATGGCCATGCCACAATTCCTTCTCCACTCTCCTCTTGGGATTTTGGGCACGCACGCACATGTGACGGGTATGAGTTTCAAGTTGCTGGGCCCAGGACTCAAACCTTGATTTGGCTATGTGGGAATACAACACATTAACCACTATGCCACCTGCTGGGCCTCATTAAAGTCTTAATAAGTTTCTAAAGATCAAGAGATGAAAAACGAGTATGAGTACTAACGATGTATTGTTGATATACTTTTTGCTTTTAGTAAATGTAAAAACAAAAAGGGGGGGGAGGGAACAGGGAGTCTTCAAGGTATGCTTTCAATCATTTAGAAATAATCCTATTGAGAATGGTTTTAAGAATGAGCCCAGAGTGGCATTACTATTAACTGCATATCTCTGTTATGTGAATTTTGAATGTGTGAATTCCAGAAAGAGATATAAACAACAAATGAAAAGACACTGCAAATATGAATAAGAGGGGATTATCAGACTAGGACAAGAAGCCCTGAAGTCACCTGGAAAGGCAGAGAATATGCCTCTCAAGCTGGTCCTCAGTGCAGCACTATGAGGTGGCTATGTGAGCTCCTGCTCAGTCAAATCCAGGGTGCTGGGCCCCAGAAGTCATGCTATTGAGGGAGATCAGCCTTACCAGGTGGCTCCATCTTACTTACTATGGGTGGCAATGAACTTGGGCAACGTTTTGGAAGGGGAAAAAAAAATGGAACATGAGAAAGTTTCGCGGTTCTGTGGGACTGACCAACATTTCCCCTTCTACTCCTGGTGCCTTAATTCTTGGCCAAAAATCTAAATAATCCTCTTTTTTCTCCCACCAAAGCTCATTTGTTTCAGCACAACCTACACCAGTGTCTGAAGTAGAATGTGCTCTTTTCCATGGTTTCCTTTTAGTCTTGCTCAGGAATCTTCGTTAGGTTTTTTCCCTTTTGTAACTACCTCTGGTTCTGAACCCCATAGTGAACAAGGAATGATGGAACCGAGCATAAGAGGTATAGGCCAGAGGGAAACTCTTAGAAGATGGGTACTATGGCAAAGAGAGTAATTTGTCCCTTCTGTTTTTGTAAAAGTTTTGGGCAAAGGTTTTAGACTTAATTCTAACACAGAATTTCTACTTTCTGGGTGAGGAGGGCCTGGGTTGTGTGGTAGTTAAGGTGCTGGACTCACACATGGCCAAACACAGTTTAAGTCCCAGACCTGAAGGCTTGCTTTCTCACTTTCTTTCTCTTTTTTCCCTGTCTCTCTATTTCTCTCTGGTGAGTGCACACGCCTTATAGGAAACTTTTTGTATAAAAGTAAATAATTCTTTTTCTTTTTAAAGAGAGACATTTTTGCTATAAGGTGCATGCACTCTCCAGAGAGAGAAAGACAGGATGGCCATGCTGCAATCCCTTCTCCTCAATTCTCTCATGATTTTGGGCATACACACACACATACCCGGTGTGAGTCTGGAATTCAAACCATGGTCGACTATGTGGGAGTTCAATGACGTAACCATTATATCACCTGCTGGTCCCACTATTTTTTTTTGAAGAATTACTTTATTTAACTTTACTTATTTATTTAAATTTGACCAGAGAGAGACAGAGCAAGAGAGAGGAAGAGAGAGGGAGAGAGGGAAAGTGAGAAAGCAAGCTGCTAGGTCTGGGACTTGAAACACGGTCGGCCATGTAGGAGTCCAGCGCCTTCAATCACCACGCCATCTGCCAGCACCCCCCAAGTAAATAATTCTATTTTTTAAAGAATTATATTTTATTTAACTTCATTTATTATATTTATATTATTATATTTTTAATTTGACAAGAAAGAGACGTGCAGGGGGGGAGAGAAAGTGAGAAAGCAAGTCGCCAGGTCTGGGACTCAGTAAGTCATGTGGGAGTCCAGCATGTCTCACTATCATGACACTTGCTGACCCCATTCAAGTAAATAATAATAATAATTTTTTTGAAGAGGTTTTTGCTATATGGCGTGTGCACTCACCAGAAAGACAGAGACAAATAGAGAGACAGAAAAAAAACACATGTCAAATTCTCTACTACTGGGAGCCGGGATGTGGCCCAGCAGTGTTGCAGCTGGACACACATAGGGTCTGCTGAGGCTGGGTGGTGGATCATGCCACTGAGACCCTGTTGGAGGAGTGTCTCTCTCTTCCCTCTTTCTCTCTTATGGAGAAATAAATAACTAATGAAGAAACTAAGTGATGTTCTCTGTCTGCTTCTTTTGAGTTGGGCTCCATAATAAGAACTCTAACTTGGGACCAACAGATGGCATAATGGCTACGTCACTGGATTCCCATGTAGTCAACTGTGGTTCGAGTCCTGGACCCGGTGGCTTAAAACTCATGCTGGGCATGTGTTCGTGCATGCCTAAGATTCTGAGAGGAGAATGGAGGAGAAGGAATTGTGGGACCCCCTGGAGGGTGATTTCTTGTTTTCTGTCCTCTGTCTTTCTGGCAAGCACATGTGCCCTCTAGCAAAAATTTCTCCCAAAAAAGAAAAAAAAAGCTCTAATTTAGTGAATGTTTACACTTTATAGAAAGACATTTATACAATATGTGATATTCAGTCTTCATACTCTCTTTTATAGGCATTTTCAGCTCCATTTTACAGATGATTAACCCTAGCTTAGAGAGTTTGAGTAATTT